GCTAGTTAAGTGAGGAGAGAGGGCAGGACGCTCCCATGCCTGGCTGGAGCCCCTCAGTGCCCCTGGAGGCTGGCCATCAGGAGAGACCACCTCCTCCCAACAGAGGACATCTTTGCAGTTGTCAGGAGAGGAGAAACCCCACCGTCAGACCACCTTGCGAGCCAAGACCCAGTTGATTTATCCATATATATAGAAAATGTAGTCTTAATGGGTATAATAATATCCATAACTAAATATATATTTTTTAACTTTTTATTGTGGAAAAGTTCAAACACAAAAAGTAGAGAGAATTGTCTAATGAACCCCCATGTATCCATCACCCACCTTCATTAATGATTAATGTTTATGATCAATATTCCACCACTATGTTTTGTTTGCTCTTAGGGATTTTGTTTTTGCCAGAACAGTTTTTTTAAAAAAAATCTCAGCTGTTGTAAACATTTTACTTTTATGAAATTTACTTTTGTAAATACAACCACAATGCCATTACATCTCCTAACATAATTGAGAAGGGTTCCTTAGTATGATGAGACATCCAGTTCAGATTCAAATTCCCCTTATGGTCTTAAAAGTATCTTTTCACTGTTGCTGTGTGTAACTTAGAATCAAAGCAAGATCTGCACAGATGATCTGTAGGCACAGTAAGAAACAAAACTGGCCCTGGCTAGTCTGCTCAGTGGTTAGAGAGTCAGCCCGTGGACCAAAGGTCCTCGGGTTTGGTTCCTGATCAAGGGCATGTATCTGGGTTGCAGGTTCTCCCTGGCACTGGGCCACGTGTGGTGCATGCAGGAGGCAACCAATAGCTGTGTCTCTCTCACATGGATGTTGCTCTCTCTCTCCCTCTCTCTCTCTCTCTCTCTGTCTCTCTCCCACCTCCCTTTCACTCTTTCTAAAAATCAATGGAGTAAATATCCTCAAGTGAGAATTAAAACAAACAAACAAACAAACATGGCCATCTAGAAAAGAGGCTCTGGATTTGCGGTTCCACTCTCACCAGGTGTTCTCAGAGCCACCCTGAGGGATAGAGGCCACTTCCCCTCTACCGTAAGGGGGATGGGACCATGTGCCCAGAGCGGCTTGCCTGCAGTGGGAACCCAGACAGGTCCAACTCCCCCTCGTCACACAGTTCTATATGGTTGCAGAGCAAGGGCTCCTCAACCTCAGGGCGCAGTCCGATAACCTAGGAGCTTCCATGGCCAGGCTGCTCCTGATGGGCCACCACCCAGGCTTCAGTATTTTCAAATCCCTCCAGGAAATGCTAACAGGCGGCCAGCGCTGGAAACCTCTGTCGCAGGGGTTGGGTCCTCCATGTGCCCATGTTCCACTCAAGGTCAAAGTGAGCTCTGTTTCTAGCTGTTGCCATTCAAAACACAAAATTGATGTTCTCTGGAACTAAACAGAACCACCACTTGCCCTCCTTTTCAAACCAGAGAATAAAAATTTGGTTTTAGAAAAAGAAAAAAACCACAAAACCGAGTTCCAGTTCGCAGGCTTGCTGTTTCAACATCTTGAGCCCCAAAATAGTTGCAAGGAGAACCAGAGAGGTGTTCCTCCTGAAGTCCTCCAGTACTTTTGAAGTCGTCATGTGAATTTTTGGAAATCAAGTTAGGGGTGCCGGCAGCAGAAATCTCGTTCTGGCATTTACCCTGGACCCGGGAATGGGTAACTTGGCTTTTCTGCAGACGGCTCGGGTGGGTCGGTGCTCTCGTCTGTGGGTGTAGAACTGATGTTTTCAACATCTTGATCCCCAAAATAGTTGCAAGGAGAAACGGAGAGGTGTTCCTCCTGAAGTCCTCCAGTACTTTTGAAGTCGTCATGTGAATTTTTGGAAATTAAGTTAGGGGTGCCAGCAGCAGAAATCTCGTTCTGGCATTTACCCTGGACCCGGGAATGGGTAACTTGGCTTTTCTGCAGACGGCTCAGGTGGGTCGGTGCTCTCGTCTGTGGGTGTAGAACTGATGTTTTGTAGGTGCCTGACACAGTGGAGGGGGAGAGGACGGGCTGTCCTTGCTATCTGGAGTTAAGAAGAGGATGTTTCAAAGAAGAGGTGTGCTCTCACCCGCTCCTTCCAGGGGAGGTGCGTTTGGGCAGGTGGAAAGCTGAAGAAAGGGATGTCGTGGAGAGAGCTGCCTGGAATGTCCCCCAGATGTTTAGGAAACAGTGTAGAGAGAAATCAACTCAAGTGCACGGGGACACGTCACCTTTGGGTGAATAGAGAGGCGGGGGTGGTGGGGGGGGGGGTGTGTGTGGACGGGGTAAGGCCATGGAGTAGCAATAGCATCTTCAGTGACAAAGTAACAGTATAATTTATTTTGTGTATTTTTAAAAATATTTTTTATTGAATTCAGAGAGGAAGGGAGAGGGATAGAGAGATAGAAACACCAATGATGAGAGAGAATCATTGATCGGCTGCCTCCTGCATGCCCCACACTGAGGATTGAGCCCACAACCCAGGCATGTGCCCTGACGGGAATTGAACCGTGACCTCCTGGTTCAGAGGTTGACTCTCAACCACTGAGCCATGTCGGCTGGGCTATTTTGTGTATTTTTGAGAGGAAAAAAAGGGCAATGTGATTGTTGAGTAGAAGAAAGACTCTCAAGGAGAAGGTGGGCATCCTCTTGACCAAAACATTTGACCTTGTTCTTTCATCTCTTCCTTGCAAATCCTTATGCTACTACAATGCTTAGAAAAACATTGGATCGGTATCGTACAGACCAGGGTCTGCTATCATTCACATGGTGTTCCCCCAAGGAGCTCTCCCCATTTAAAGGTTAGCAGCACTTTGGTGAGTCTCTGAGGCAAGTGTCTGCGTGGTCTCTGCTCCGGCCCCTGTGTTTTAGGTCTTCACCTCCCAGGTCTCCTCTAATCACACCTCCCCATCCTGTGTCCCTTCAAGCCCTCAGGCCTCACCAGGTGCCCGGTTAACTGATCTCAAATAAAGATATTAAATCAGAAGGTTAAATATTGATAATACAAAGTACTCATGCAATTGTGTCAAGAGGGAATCTGGCAAAGGAAACGATATTCAACTCCATTAGTAACCAAAAGAATGCAAATGTAACATGATTTTCAGTTCCAGAACAAAGGTGAAAACAATGGCAACACTAGAGTCTGGGAGACTTCAGAGAAATGTGAGGTGGCCTGGACGTGGGTGGAAGTGTAAATTGGCACGATTTCTGGAGAACAGTTTGGCAATGTATGCCATATACTTAGAAATATGCAGACAGCAATTTCACCTCTGAGAGCTTATTCTAAGGAAATTATTGGGCAGGGGCCAAGGATACTCAAACCAACCTATTTATAATAAAGAATAATTAGAAATAATCTAAATAAATGTCCACCAAGTGAGGATTATTTGTATCAATTATGGTCCATTCAGACAACAAAGTATCAAAGAGACTTTAAAATGATATCAATTTAATAAACATGAAAGGATGTCCATGAGATATTACCCCCCATGGTGTCAATAATGTAAAATTGTGTGTGCAGACATGTGTGTTCATGCACACAGAGATCTACAACGATAGTCATCAAAATATCCACCATGGTGTTTTCTGGTTGGGAGAGCTTCGAATGCCTTTACCTTCTTATCTTTTATTGTTTCTAAAATTTCGAAAGCAATGTGTCCTGACCTGGAATCAACTGTGACCTCCTGTTAAGAGGTCAAGGCTTAACCACTGAGCCACACTAGCTGGGCAGGTTGGTCATCTTTAAAACAACTCCTCCATCAAAACCCAAATTCCCATGGGGGTCCAGGTTGTTTTCATGATCCCGTTGTCTGTCTCTGGACTGGAACCGCACGTTTTAATGACTGAAGCTTTTTAGAAAGTTTTATGTCTGCTAGAATCATGCCCATCCCCATTCTTCTCCTTTTTCAGACTTTCCCCACCATTCTCAGACGGTACCGTTTTCAGAGGAACTTTAGAATCAGGTAGTCACGGTCCACAACACTCCCTTGGGGGTTTGATTGGAACAGCTGGACGCTCCCCACTAATTTGGGGCTGACATCTTACAGAGCTGCGCTGGCGGACCTTGCGCTCCAGGTAGCTCTTCAGGCGATCAGGTGCTGCCCTCTGCAGGGAGGCCCAGGCAGGTGCTACTTCCGTCCCGGCCCTCCCACTCAGCCCGCTCCACCCAGCTGATCCCAAGGCTCCTAGAAAGGACACATTCTCACACATCTGTGGTCTAACGTCTTTCCTTCCCCAGCTGACGTTTGGATTTTAACCTGAACGTTCAGGATAAAGGTCTAGGGCACATGCTTGGGAACCACAGGTCCTGCCGTAGAACCCGTCAGGAAATGCTCCCAGCAACCACACCCATGAGGCAGACACTGCACACACGAGTGACCAGCCCTAAGTAACCGGGTTCCAACGGGAACTTTAACAGCGTTGTTGTTCTAGAACACCGTAAAGCTCCCTCATTGTAAGTGTGCAGTTAAAGGGTTTTTAGTACCTGTGCAAAGGGGTGCAACCGTCACCAAGTCCAGCTTCAGAGCATGCCCACCACCCCTGCAAAAGACCCCTGTGCCCATTTGTGGTCATTCCCTGGATGCCACTTTGCTCTGAGCACGACAGCACCAGGAGGAGTGGGGACAGAGGGAGGGGGTCTCTGAGAGATCCTCCACCTGTGAGTCTAGACTCTAGATTCTAGACTCTAAAGCAGCGGTTCTCAACCTGTGGGTCGCGACCCCTTTGGTGGTCGAACGACTCTTTCACAGGGGTCACCTAAGACCATCCTGCATATCAGATATTTACATTACGATTCATAACAGTAGCAACATGACAGTGATGAAGTAGCAACGAAAATAATTCTATGGTTGGGTCACAACATGAGGAGCTGTATTTAAAGGACCAGAAGGTTGAGGACCCCTGCTCTAGAGCCAACGCCCCAGCGCCGAGCACAGAATAACTTGCAGGCCAACACCCTCTCCTGCGGAGACCCAGCGAGGGGCCCCTCCTGAGGACCCTGGCCACGCTGAGCCCATCCTTACCCCTCCCAGGTGGATAAAGTTTGAAGAAAAGGTGGAGGAAGGAGGCGAACGCTGGAGCAAGCCCCACGTGGCCACACTGTCCCTGCACAGCCTCTTCGAGCTCCGGACCTGCCTGCAGACGGGAACGGTGCTGCTCGATTTGGACAGCGGCTCCTTACCACAGATCATAGGTGAGTGGGGACCGCGGAGGCCCCCAAAACCAGGGCAGCTCTCCCCCTCCCGCCTCCTGCCCGCCCCAGTCCATCCTCACCTCTGACACTGCCTGATTCCACAGTGGCTCCAAGGTTCAGTCCCCCGTAGAGTTCCAGCGGAGGGAACCAGCACCCAGTGAAATGCAGTGCAGCCAGGGAGAGGGCTTCTCAGTGTAGCTGCAGACGCTGTGGCCGCGACAACCTGTTTCCCGCAGGGTGAATGGATCTCCTTCCTCTTCAGGAAATTAGCCCTCATTTCGTGGAGTGGCAAAGGGAGGGGGTGGCTTGCCTGGTCATCGCTCAAACTTTTTGTGAATTTTGTTCTAGCACATTCAGTGGTGCCAGAAGCATTTTGCCCGAAATACTTTCCTAAAGAGAATTCATGTTAGGACTGAAGTCATTTAGCCTGGTACTTTTGTGCTTCTAAGGGAACTTCCATTGGTATGATTACATTTACTTTAAAAATATTTTTTTACATTGATTTTTGAGAGAGAGAAAGGAAGAGAGAGAGGGAGAGACAGAAACATTGATGTGAGAGCGAAACCCTACCAGGGATCAGTCCACAACCCGCCTGTGTCCTGGCTGGGATCCAACCAGCAACCTTTCCCGGCATGGGCACAGGATGACGCCAGCCAACTGAGCCACACGGGCCAGGGCTGATGTCACTTGCTTTTAACAATGGAATTGATAGAGCAAAGAATGCTACACACGAGCACACGAGCACACGAGCACACGCACCCACACGCGTGGGCACACAGGCACACGCACGGACGCGGGCACACCCTTTTGGGCATGGGGGGCTGAGGGTTCGTGATTTGCCCGAGTTTCAGCAGTTTGTGTTTAAAGCTGGGACTCTGCCCACATCCTGCCTCCTTTAGCTCACTTTTAATCCCACAAATAACAGAGGAAACGGAAGACCCCACAACCCTGCGCCTTCTGTCCTGTTCTGTCCCCTTAGATGACGTCATTGAGAAGCAAATCGAGGACGGCCTCCTGCGGCCGGAGCTCCGGGAGAGGGTCAGCTACGTCCTCCTGAGGAAGCACCGGCACCAAACCACGAAGCCCATCCACCGCTCCTTGGCGGACATCGGGAAGTCGGTCTCCTCCCCCGCCGGTGAGTCGGGCCATGCTGGTGGGCCCTGGGCAGGGGTGGGGGGTGGGGGGGGTGAGCCCCGGTCAGTGAGCGTCTGGGCACTTCACCAAGCTGGAGACATTCCGGGGGTTCCTTAGCCTCCTCCAGCAGGGACCCCAGCCACACCCTGGTGCTGTCCCCACCCCCAGCGCTGA